AGTGCAATATTTTGTAAATACAATGATGTTATCATAATTATTTGTTTGTGTTTTATTTTTGTACTACCCAGTGGCTTCGCTCGCGTTCTCGTGGAATAAAAAATAGCCTATGTGTTTTCCTAACCAGAATCTACCTCTGTTCCAAATTTCATATCGTTCCCTTCTGCCGTTTTGACGTGGAAGAGTAACAAACACACACACAGACACACACACACACAGATACAGACATACATCCTCACAAACTTTCGCATTTATAATTCTTTTTTATGGCATAAACGAGCAGACGAATCACCTGATGGTAAGCAATTGGCGTCGCCCTTGGACACCTGGAACACCAGAGGCGTTACAAGTGCGTTACCGGCCTTTTGGGATTAGGCATTTGAGTATCGTTGGGGATTCAGGAATTGGGTTTCAGAGATTGGGGACGGGGAGGGTAATTGGGCCTTTGGTAATCTAACTCACACGACGAAACACAACGCAAGCGTTGCTTCACGTCGGTTTTCTGTGAAGCCGTGGTATCACTCCGGTCCGTGGTATCATTCGTGCCGAAGCATGGCTCTCCCACACTTATCATATTAAATTATTATAGTTGGAAGTTCGATAGGTTAATACACTGTGAAATCTATTTCGTTTTCGTCCCGCGGCAAAACAACTTGCGATAAGCTTACTTTCGATGTATAAAGTAAAAACAAAAAAATAAATATGTAATTGTTTATTAGTTTAAAAAAGATATCGTGGTAATACGCACATGAAACACTAGATGTGACTTTGTAGGCAATATTCGCATCGCACATGCCACCCGACGAGAAATACCTCTTCGAGAATTACTAGATTTAATGTACTATGGATTCGTTGAATACTACTATGGCATATTTTTTAAATTATTATTTTTGCGGCTCACTCACGTAATTATTTAGAACTCGACTAGTTTCAGACTCAGTCAGAGTCGCCGCGTCGCAGGTCGCGAAATGCTGCTCATGAACACGAGTCTCTAGCATGGCTTGAAACTAGTCGAGTTCCTCATCAAATAATTCCGTGAGTAAGCCGAAAACATATAAATAATTTATTTAGTACTAGCGACCCGCCCCGGCTTCGCACGGGTGCAATATGCATGTATTATACATACAAACCTTCCTTAAGAATCACTCTATCTATTAAAAAAAACCGCATCAAAATCCGTTGCGTAGTTTTAAAGATCTAAGCATACATACGGATATACAGCGAAAGCGACTTTGTTTTATACTATGTATTGATGTCTCACGAAAGTTATAATACAGACATATTTTTTGTTTTAAACATTTCATTTCTTTGTAAAACTATTATATTACTACACAAGACAGAACCATGTTGCTTCGGGACGAAATCCAAATAGATTTCACGGTGTATATATTTTATGAGTTGATAAGTTTAACATATGAGGTTATTGTACGAATAATGATGAGTTTGCATTGGATCAACTACAACTACTAAGTTAATGTAGCACTTACACAAATGATAAGCATAAATACTTTATACCAACCTGTGTTCAAATTTCTTCCCCACAGCAAAATGATATCAACTTGCACATTACTAGTAAAAAGAGTTAGTTACTTTGAGTGTGTAGACTGATTGGAAGCGACCTGTATCCAGCGGCTACCTTAATCAGGGTGCTTACTCTTGAAACCAATCTCAATGTCAATGCAATTTCAATCCAATAAAATCTCAATGATTATTCAATGTCAATACTATACAACCACAATCGTAGCTGTTAAAATAGCATTTAGAGTACGGAATATAAAGCCAAACTCAGTAACATTTAGTTCATTCAATATCCACGCAATACGGATGCAATGGGCGCTAGTGTTGCAACTCAAGAGTACGAAATTTCATAATATCAATGTCGATCGATCGGAATTGGATTTAAGAGTAAACCTGGTCATTTGTCCACCTTGTGGATAGACGTCCTACGCTGCACTTGCCGGTACGTGGCCTTCGCTTTCAACCGACCAATCTGGAAGTAGGCCTCCGCCTAGGTTCAGCAGTCGACGTCCTGTGGCTGATATTATGATGATGATGAGCGAGTATTTGAAAGCTTCTAAACTAGGTGACTATATGCTTTTTTTTTATTTTATTTTTTAATGGGGGAAAATCATCGAATGACCGCTCCCGTCTGGGTGAGGCGGGAGGGAGTGTCAGACTCTAACTGACTAAAAACGACCCCGTTCCTTCTCCTTCACGTCGAGTCGGAGCCCCGGTTACCCGTTAGGTTCTCCGCGACTGACTATATGCTTAGGGCCAATGACATACTTACATGATCTTCAGCCCACCTGCTTCGCATGAAGAATGTATGAAACCTTCTTAAAAGAGTCCTATAGAGTAGCAATAGAAATAGAAATAGAAATAATTTATTTGCCAAAAATGTAGGTAACAAATATGTTGGTTTTTAACTTATGGAGAATCCCAGTACATTTTGCCTTACGGCATGCAAAATTATTGAATTAGTTAAATAAAATTATGAAATACAATTTTTAAATTTAAACAAAACAAAATTAATTAATAACAATTAAATCATTCATAATTAGGCACAACACAAATTATACAATAATACTTATAATAGAACATCAGAAATTTAGATTAACAGAAACTTTCATCATCAAAAAAATCTTTAAGCGAGTAGTAACACGTAACGCAGTGCAACGGCAATGGCTTATGATGATGCTGATAGCCAATACAGGTATCCATATCAAGGACTCTGCCTCGTTGGCCGAGTGCTTGTAAGTGCGACTGTCGGGCTAGAGGTCTCGGGCTCGATTCCCGGGTCGGTCAAAGTATTACTGGGTTTTTTAAAAATTCTCAGTAGTTTCACAGTCTGGAATCGTGGCCGGTATATGGCAATAGGCTCACTCTCTATTACATGGGACTCGTAACATAAATACGAAAAAGCGGGTGTTACATTGTAGAGTGGTATTAAGTGCCGTAAATGTGCACCTCTGCCTACCCCTTCGGGGATAAAAGGCATGATGTTATGTTATGCTATTTATCCATATCCTATCATAAAGTTGTATACATGGCGAGATGTCGTTGCAGAAACACACGTGAGTATGTAAATCAACGCTCACATTATGTCATACTATATAGAAATTAAGATTTCTAGACCACCTTTTACTACAGACTGTCTTGCAAACACGTTCCTAATTAGACTTCTTGCTAATTAATAATTTACTAACATCGTATCCTTATTAAGCATACAAAAATGTGATTGGCTGAAGGAAGTCCATATAATTATTTTAATTGTCGCCACTTTAGGTATCTAGGTAGGCCAGTATGTAACTAGTTGGAGACTTTAGAATGCTGGTACGTACAAGGCAATGCATTTGTACCGAGATTTAACGTAACACGTAGACTGCTTCGTTGGCCGAGTGGTCGTAAGTACGACTGCAGGGCAAGCGGTCTCGGGTTCGATTCCCAGGTCGAGTAAGTATTTAATAAAAATCTCAGTAGTAAAATGGAATCTGGAATTCAGACCCCTGTTCCAAATTTCATCCCGATTCTTTCAGATATTTTGACCCGGTAACCCATTAAGTTCTCCGCGGCTTCGTATCGGTATTAGCCCTGTTGGGCCCCATCCGTGGTGGTCTGATGGCTCCTTGGGGCGCGCGCGGAAATCTCAGCGCCGTACGGTCGGGTTTGGTTCTAGTTGGGCGGCGAGCTACCCATGCTCGCCGTTCGCAGGCCCGCGTTTACAGTGGCCGGAGATTGTACCGCGATCCCCGACGCCCGTAGTGTTCTTCGCGACGGCTGGGTTGTGAGGAAGCAGCGCTTCGCTGCCTCATGCGCCCCGCCTCCTCCTTAGGCGGTCAAAAGGTTTAGGTTGTCTTTAGTCAGTGACTTCTTTGTTTACAAAATATAGTTGTCGCTTTCCTACCCAATTTTTAATACACCTCTTCTTACTCAATTTCAATTTATGAACTCCTAATACTTCGGAAAGAGAATGACGTATTCCTAAGTCTACGCTTATAATAAAACGATAAAGAAATATTATTATTTATTTTGTTATCATGCAGTAAGCAAATATCCTGTTTGAAGTGTCTCATACAGGTGCTGCAAATTTCGATTTTTAGCTTAGTTTTCAAGATATTGCAAGATTTTGTCCAGCTTAAATAGATCTATCAATGTATATTTACGACGAATCTCTAATTATAACTTGAAAAATTATATATTTTACTTATTATTTTTTCTTTTCTTATCCATCTGATATATTACATGTATATTTGGTCATTGTGCCCATAAACAAACATACATTTATTTATGTACTTTCTCACAGTTTAGAACGTAGGTTGGTAACGCGACACTTGGCATGCAAGCAACCATTGCAAAATAAGCGTTTCAAATTCACTCACTTCGTGGAATCACACGCGTGCTCGCGCAACAACTAAACTGTTGGATTCTCTATTGGCTAAGCTTCAAATTGTTTGTGTTGTGTAAAGTTAATCACTGGTTTTTCTTAAGAAATACAACTTAGCTTTTTATATCTCGAAAGTACACAAGAAGTTTGTATATATTGGTCTTGTGTCCTCAGTCATGTTATGAATCACTATGAAATACTAGACTACAAATACTCCTAAGAATTCTAGAAATGTATACGAATTCGAAATCTGCCCTTATCTTTTGTGAGCACTACAAATCGAAAATGAGGTTGCTTATGGGACGACGTGCTCCATCGTAGACCGCATCATCGCTTACCACCAGGCGAGATAGTAGTCAAACGTCGATCTATCTAATATAAATAAAAAACTATTTAAAAGATATAAAATAAAAACGTAACTTTAAGGTAATATTTATTCTTTTTATTGTTGAAAATCATTTCGTAAAATATGATATTATATTCATTTACAATCTATATTAACTTATAAATAAATTATAAACATAAATGGTTACTTTACTGGGAATTTTAATTTCTTATTATATTTTGGAAAAAATAACAAAATTGTAATTCTTTTTGACCTATTTATAAATGAAAATAGGTATAAAAGAATCACTCCATTTCAAAAATTAATATTATTAATTTTCTTTTTGATATTGTTATTTACGCATTTGTCGAGATTTTAGATGATGGCAATTCGGTGTTTTGCTGAACATTAAAATCCTCAATAAAACGAACCACAATCTAAATTGAAATAATTAATTTCCAAAACTAAATACATAACATAAATTTAGACAATTTTTTAACAATAAAATGAGACTGAATTAACATTTTGAACGAATATATAACCAATAACGTTTAAATTGATATTTCTTCGATAAAATAACATTTAACAATATTACAGAGTATAACAATATTGTGATTCTTACTATCATATTCTATAAAAATAACAAAAAGGTACTCTATGCATTTATTTACAATAGTTATATAATCATTATAATGTATCTGTGACGCTACTACGCTTATGAGTATTTATAAATACAAAACTATATAATAGGCACTTATAATGGTCCCTTTAATCCTAAAAATCCTACAAACAGACATTTTACGGAGTCAGATAAATTCCACAAAGGTCTTTACCTACTACGCTAACTTGCTATTATGCAATAATATTACTTCATGTCAATTAATATTTGTAAACGAATAAATCAGGTGTGACAAAAAGGAGTCCCTTCGTCCTTCTATAAAAAATGGGGTTTTTGGTTCTACAGTTTTAATATATTTCAAAGGTCTATGAATCTATTATGGCATTCAGTACGGCCGGACCGTGCCGAGCCGGCCCCGCGGTATCGGCTCCGCGTAGCTGTGCCGAAACTTCGACTGCTGTCTGTCAGCTAGCTCGCGAAAATCTCTGTAGTCCCTGTCATAGTACCTCTCCCTATCTCCCTCCACGTAAGACTGGCGCTGGTCGTCCAGCAGACGGGAGCGACTGAACGCCCTCTGTCGGTCGTTCCAATCTCTCCTCCTGTCTTCAATCACTGGTTCTATAATCTCGTCCTCGTCAATGCGCCTGTCTAGCTCCCTTCTTCCCCTCCGGTCGAAGCTGTCAAACTCGTCTCTGTGCGGTTTCGGCTCGATCCTGTTGAGATATTCCTCGGCGCCGTACTCGTACCGCTTCACGTCGTCACGTTTCCTGCCGATGCGCGGCAGTCGCTCCATCTCCCTCGCGTGTGTCGGCTCGAGGTCGCGCATCCTGTCCGTGTCCTTGCGTCTCTCAGGCTCCCTGTGGCGCTCCAACTCGCGATGAGAGCGCTCTGGCTCTCTCCGGGAGCTAATGTCTCTGTGTCGGTCCTGACGCTCGTCCCTTCTTTCTTCCTCGGGGGAAGAAGTTGAGCGACTGTTCCGTTCCAGCATGCTCCTCCTCATCGCCATGTGCGCTTCCAGCTCCCTGTTGAACCTCTCCCGTTCTAGATTCATGAACTTTTCCTTGGCCACGTTGAATCGGTCTTTTGGGGACGCTTCTGCGATTTTAAGGCTACCTTCGCTGGCACCCCTTTGGAGTTTACCGAACCTCCTATCTTCGACCCTGTCAATGCTCCTGTTGGATGGTTTGGTTTCAGCGACGTACCGTCTTCTGTAGTTGATCGTGTCGTCTTGGAATTTCTCTACTGGCTTTTCTGGTTTGACACGTTCAAGTGACTCGTGACGGAACCTTCGTTCGAAGGTCTGGTCGCGGAAGGGGGCGAGTTGGTCGCGGAACTGGTCGGAGAAGTCATCGGGGTAGCCTCGGTCGTAGTTGCGCGGGGAGAGGGCGCGGCGTGCGGGGGATGTACGGCGGGGGGAGGCAGCGCGGCGCGGGGGGGATGCATCGAAGGCTTCGTGCATCATGTACGCTGTGCTCTCCGCCCAGTCCTCCTCTGGAAACAAAGAAAACATTTGATGAGAACTCGTGTACATGAAAGATAATATTAATTTCCTACACTGCACTTTGCAGATAAGGACCTCGATACGTTATAACCTACTTCGCGACCGTTGTTAATTCTAGCCACGTGCAAAATTTAGCAAAACGGTAAACTTTTTAAAACATGTCGCGGTGTCAGGCATCTGAAGATAAGATTTGTTCCACATTACAAGACTGCAGTTATTCGTGCCACACTCACTGCTTCTATAAACATAGGTTCCGGCAATTACTAAGCATGAATGAAGTTATTTATAACCGGTTATTCTAGATTGATGTGTTCATGTTTTTATGTAGCCTAGCTTGATAACGACACAATACAATCACACAAACATCGTGTACACTATTATCTACATACAATGAATTCTTCTATCAAATAAGTTAATGTTTCATTGCAATGACAACCTTGTAACTAAATGTTGGAGAACTGAACTCTAGAGTTGAACTTCCTTGTTTATACCTTGTAACGTTTGCTTTACTTTAAAACTTATAGAACTTCATGCATTTATGTGATAAAGCCGAAGGAATTACTCAGTGTCTTCGTCTACTGATAAGTGCTAATGTAAGAATTAAGCATTTTAGCACATCATTGAGAAACTATTATTAGACTATTGTTTAAAACAACTGCCTTGACTACCTCGTTACTTTGTTAGACGAGTGGTCGAAAGTGCGACTACCGGGCAAGGGGTCCCGAGTGCGGCAAAAAACTACAAGGTTTTTTAAAAAAAATCCTATTACATGGGACTCATAGAAGATAGAAGATACAAAGTGGGTGTATTTATTGTACAGTGGCATCAAGTGCCGTAATATACACCTCTGCCTACCCCTTCAAGGATAGAAGGCGTGATGCTATATCGTGTTTAAAATACACACGTAACGGCAAAACTCCTCAAATCAGTCAATAATGTTCCTCGAACCGCTAATAAGTAATAATTATGTATTTAGCACCATCGACTTTGAGAAGTAATAAAAATATTTCTGAAATACAACTCACTAGCCCACTTTTATAATTATATGCTCATGAACTTCTCACAGTCTCACTTTTACGTACATTTAACGGGACCCCATCTCCGAAACACTTGCCGACTTGTTTTTTAAAAGATTTGACATAGAAAAGAACCTGTAATACGTAGGGTTGCCAACGATAAAATTAAATGAAAGATGAAAGTTCCACGTGCTAACAGTGATTACTTTTTTTGTTATCGTGCAGTAAGTGTCATGTTTGAAGGCTTGATTAGTGTTTTTCATCGTATTTGTGTGCGTACGGTAGATGGAATGTTGTATTTAGTAGGTAGTTAGAGTAGTGATGTATTTTAAATTATAAAGTGAATTATGGAATAATGTGTTCGTGTATTATTCTATTTTTAAGCGGTGAGGACAAATTCTCCGCGAAACACGGGTCAAGGGTGGTGATACGTGGCGGGTTCAATTTAGAATTTTTGTAACTAAAAACGACTAGACTAGTCTCTAGAAGTCTAGACACTGTTGCTCATTAAATATGCTTCATAATATGGAGAGGTCGCTCAAAATAATGCAGAGATGGTAATAAAACTCCATAGTAAGAAGTACCAGACTTCAGTTATTTCAGGGTCGTAGCTACCTATGGTTTGACGCTCTTTGTAAATAGTTACTTTTAGTTCTTTTTTACAAGTAATTTTTTAGTATTTTACTTTTAAGTATTAAATTCGTAATATAGATATCAATAAACTTGCGAACATATGGTTAGTAAGTTTAATATTCTGACGTGGTTTTACTCAGTTAAAGCTTCAATATCCCTTCTTTTTCAAATAGAAAAAATTGTATAATAAACTAAAACATTTTCCTCTTGAACAACACTAAAAATGGCGACCCGCTATATAGTAAGTAGAAACAACGAAACGAAACTCCACATGCGTGGCGTCGTGGCTCGACACGCATCTGTCAAATGGATAGGTTTTTTTTATTAAAAATAGCGGTTCATTAAACAGTTACCTTTCTGATTGGCCGAAAACTATATGTTATGGACTTATAGCCGGTTGTCTAACTGCCAAGTTATTTGTATGTCTGACGTATATTGCTGTCTAACTTTTTTTATGATGTGCTACTAAAATGAGTTGTTTTATAGGTCATGTTGTTGCCAGTGTGAGGAGCAGGTGAATTTATGTTTGTTTATAAGATAGCATTGGGATATTCGAATAAAAAAAACATAACATAACATCACGCCTTTTATCCTTGAAGGGGTATGCACAGATGCATATAACGGCACTTAATTTCACTGTACACAGAATTCCAAACTTCGTGCTACTAGGTACCTGAGTCTTCTTAAAAAACCCAGTAATACGTTGCCCGTTCTTAAGGTTTTAACGTATAATTATATTTGTAAAACCTCATTTTATAAAAAATCGATTTTAAGATTGATTCATGATAGCACAAGTTTAAACCTTAGTGGATTTTGGTTGCTATTTTAAATGGATAATCCTGTACTTATTGTAAATATGATAAAAACTTTAAAGAACACACAGATTTCATCAGAGATGTTACTAACCGCAATATAAAGCGGTGAATTTAATTTTTTTTATGGCATAAGCCGGTAAACGAGCAGACGAATCACCTGATGATAAGTAATCGGCGTGCGTTACCGGCCTTTTTGGGGATTAGGAGTTTGACGATCATTAGGGATTCAGGAATTGTAAGTAATATTTGACAATCATACTTGCGACCATTAGATTAAAGATAGTTTTGGAAATATTTCTTAAAACAGGAATTAGAACTTTTTATAAGAAATATCAACATGACTATTTCATAGTCATCATTAATGAAGTTATTTCTCACTACATAAATCCACAGATAACACACTAAAAAAATATTAAGAATGATATCATTTGACAGTGTCACGTTCACACGCCGCCATCTTGGTTTAAAAGCGCGCCAATTGCATGGGATTCGGGTAAGCGTTTAGTTTCGTCTCATTGTTTAAGTATAATGCCCTGGTTCCCCGTGCTTTATGGGAAAATATCGTATTTAATGATTCCAAAGCATTGTTTTGTTTATTAAACTTAATGTATTCGTAGTTATTTATAAATGAAATTGTTTTTTTTTAATTATACCTACTGTTTTTATTATAATATTAAAATATGTTTTTTTATTTTTTTTACTATTGACGTTTATTCAAATAAAGGGTTATAATTTTCTTTTTAATTCATAAACTGATTATCTATAAGTAAGAATTGAAAATTGTATTGTGAACCTGATTGAAAAAAGTAACCTATGAAGTTTTTTGCTCGATCTTCTCCATAGGAATCTACACCTTGAAATGAGCAAATAGCTTCACTTCAAACTTTTAGTTGACGTTCAAAAGTGGCCTCCTGGTCTAATTGAAATAAATGATTTTGACTTTGATTTTGAATATTTTTCTGCCCAATATAGACCGTTTTACTGCCCAGTTTTGGATTGTTTTGACAATATCAACAGTAACAAAAATATAGTTAATAACTGCACGTTCATCAATTAACTTTCATATGACCTCAAAACAGTTCGTTATTGGCTCTCATTATTTGCTTTACTGTGCCACATACTTAAATATTTCCATACACGACTAATTTAACGTAATTAGTTTCAAATTATCTTTGCAAGTTGCCCAAACAAACAATAATTCTGTTCCATTGACGTAAGATTTTACTGCAAGATCAAATGACTCGTTAAAATTCAATTTTTGCTAATGACATAACGAATTTAGTCGACGGCAGCGCCAAATGTCGGATTGTTTGTAAGCAATTTTGTAATTAAAGGAGAATTTAGTTCGAGAATGTGACCTAGTCAGCGTGGTTCGATTTTATACAGTTAATACGATTTAGATTTTGATTTCGATGTAGCTTCAAACGTGTTGTTGCCAAAAGAGAGATTGAGATGCGATTTTAGACATTTTTTATTTTTTTTATGGGAAAAGCCGGTAAACGAGCTGACGGATCACCTGATGGTAAGCAATTGGCGTCGCCTATGGACACCCGAAACACCAGAGGCGTTACAAGTGCGTTACCAGCCTTCTGGGAATTAGGAATTTGAGGATTGTGAGGGATTCGGGGATTGGGGAGACTGGGGAAGGGGGTAATTGGGCCTCCAGTAACCTCACTCACACGACGAAACACAACGCAAGCGTTGTTTCATGTCTGTTTTCTGTGGGGCCGTGGTATCACTCCGGTCGAGCCGGCCCATTCGAGCCGAAGCATGGCTCTCCCACACTTAAAAATTTTCGTATGATGTCATACGTGGTATAATAAGTTTACATGATATGACTAACATTAAGTTGGGAACTCGGGATTTAACTCATAGCAAATTGATCCTTATGACTATACGTACAAGGTGCTTCTAGCTATTTGTTAAACATTATTAATCGATCACCCAATTCACAAACACGTCACTAAACAATCAACAAGCAACAACAACACGTCAATATTTATAAACAAAACGCACAAAAACAAAAGTATTTGAAATACTTGCATATACTACGCGCATACCAATTAAATGACTGTAAACAAAGGAATCACAGTTAAGAATAGGAAGGCTATGCATTGAAAATCTTTCGGCAAAACAATCGCTATTTTTTCCTCCCTGGGAAAACAGATATAATGGAAAACCATCTTCTATCCCTCTCACACGTTATTATTTTTTACTCGCGTGGGATACTATAATGGGGCTATTAAGAATTTGTCTAAAAAACTTGCGTATTCTTCACTTATGAATACTTATGGGGTGTTTAGCTTCGTGTTGTTTATACATGGGGTTCAAACAGACACTAGTTAAGTAGGAACATAAAGCTATTGTTAATTGACTGATAAATATCTTTGATTAACAGTTACTGACAGTGTACTGTTGGATTTTGAACCTCTTTTATATGAGATGGTTTGACATAGTCTCTTGGCCTTGCAGACGGGTTGGAAAGAGTACACTGCATTTAAAAAAATCTCAGAGGGCGCCTCTCGTCTGGGTCTGCTAAATGTGTAGTTCCTTAGTTCGGTTTTACTATACCTGCGGGAGAAGTACGGGAGGCGATAAATGTATTCTATTCTGTAGAATCATTTCGAGAATAAATGACGTCATATTGAACCAATTACATTAAATTGAATCTATAGAACATGTGATTAAAAGAACATACAATAGTTGCCTATTATCTCAGACGTACAAGGTATGACGTCACTTCCTTTAGAAAATATATCGAAGAACAATCGTATATTAATTATATGTTATTGTTTGCGTAACAGCCGTTGTTTTGTAATTATTTTACGATGAATACAGGTCTTCTTCCTAGTAAGAAGCTCGTAGTAAAAGTCTTGAGTATAAAATTTGTTAACAAAAACATACATTGAAATTATTTACTAAAAGGGATCTTCCCTTTTAGTAAATAATTTCAGGTTATTTGTAATACAACTATGTTTTTACTAATCTATACATATAATAAAATCGTAGGAAAGTGTAAACTGTACATTGAATATTTTTTAAAAGAATGGTTGAGATCGAAGCTAAAATTTGGTTTTTAGAATTTTTGTCTGTTTGTATGTATGTATGTCCGGGTTAAACTCAAAAAGTACTGCATAGATTTACTTCAAATTTTGCATGAATATTACTAACAGGTCGGTTCAACATATAGGCTACATATTATCACGCTATCATATACGGGGGAGGCGCTGTGAATCACTATTCCACGCGGACGAAGTCGTGGACACAGCTAATAAGCACTAATTGTGAAGGTGACGAGCTAATCGTCATACATACCAAACAAAATTCTAGATCCAAAAGCTAGCAAAAAATCCAGTACCCTTATACAAAGTAATGTGGCTGCCTCTACCACATAATATTATCTTCTGTGGAGAGTACAGTGGAGTACTAAAAGAAGATTTCATAAAAAAATATGGAATTATTATAATGTACAAAGTTGCGGGCATTAAACATAATATCACTTTGATCCCCGAAGAGATAGACAGACGTGCACATTACGGCACTTTATGCCACTGAACCATGTAACACCCACTTTTCACTATTTATGTCATGAGTCCCATGTAATAGGGGGTGAGCCTATTGCCATTTACCGGACACATTTACAGACTCCGTGCTACTATTAAAAAACAGGCATTAACTAATAAAATCATTATTATTTTGTACAAGAACCACAAGTTTACAAAAAAACCTTCTCAGATATCGAAGGTTGAATATCTAAAGGCGTAGAGACAAGAGCGTTAGTGATACGTACTCGTAAGTAAGTCGTGATGTGCCAATACATTCTGTGTTAAGGGCACTATGTGTTTATACACACATAAAACACATGTGTGTAACAACACGATGTGTTTATGTGTGTTGTTTATGTAACTAACATATTATGTACTTGTAGACTTGTTGATATAAATTAGATAACGGTGTCTTAAATAATTACATAACATTAAGTTTTTTATTCCTAAAATGGCAGATAGAACTGCACGTACCTAATTTGTTTAATATTGTTCAAAATTTAACGGAATGTTGACGTTGACCCACGCTTGAATTTTCTCCTGAGCCGTGAATGCGTTTGCAAACATAGATACAACATGCTTTAAGCTTTCTAAATATTTATTATAACCAATGTAATTAGAACATAACATCACGCCTTTCATCCTCGAAGGGATCGGCAGAGGTGCACATTATGCCACTGTACAATGTAACACCCACTTTCACTATTTATGTTACGAGTCCCATGTAATAGGGGGTGAGCCTATTGCCATATACTACTAATACCCAGTAATACTTTGCCCGAACCGGTAATCGAACCCGAGACCCCTTGCACGGCAGTCGCACTTGCGACCACTCGGCCAACGAGGCAGTGTAATTAGAACAAGGTAGCGTTAAAATATATTTATGTAGTTCTAAAGGGTTTAATTCATAACTATGCATTTTGTGAAGAATCCCCCAATGAAAACATTATAATTACTTATATTTCATAAAATTTCAACCAGGAAACGTGATAACTAAAAGAATAATAAAAAATATAATATGTTAAGAAACCGATACTGCAGTGAATGTTGACCAACACCAACGGTGTCGCAAGCTGCGCGTGCGCAACTTTTCTTAACATTTGAGCTAACGGATTGATTTCACGAAAGCAAACGTATTATTAATGTGGATTAGTGGTATTTTAATTAGTCCAATTTTTATGGAAGGTTATATTCTTGATGAGTACTTATAAGCGTTAACTGACTTGTTTGATCTCCGGTTGGGTAAAACGCATTTAATACATTGGATGGTGTGTCCGACGCTAGCGGAGGATTGGCCTTTAACAGTTTTTGTCAGCAGTTAAATGATTAATATTGTTGAAATCAAAAGTTTTATTAGAAAAACCTTTTACTTTAACTAAGATTTATGTGAATAGTTAGATAGTAAACAAAAGAAGGCAAGATTATACTTGAGCGCACCAAATAATAGTATTCTGTTATTTTATGTTTTTGTCCTTACTCAGAACTATCAGTAAATAGAGAGGGAAACAAGGAGTCACTCCCGGCGTGACTCCATGTGATGAAATTGACAAGACGTAGGTACTCATGTTTTTTGTAAACATTTCATACCGATCTTAGCTTAAGTATGGTTTTCTTTTTTTAAGAGGGGAAAATCATTGAATGACTTCTCCCGCCTTGGGTGAGGCGGGAGGGAGTGTCAGACTCTTACTAACTAAAAACCACCCTGTTCCTACTCCTGCCCTTCGAGCTGGAACCCTGGCAACCCGTTAAGTCTGTACTTGAGACGATGAATGATTCATTCTGAATGATTCACTCATAACATTTCACTCATACCTTACTTTTTGTAAGTTTGATGTATGAGATCTACTAAATAGCTTAATCAATTTGTATGCGACTTCAAAAGAAAATGTATATAGCTGATTTTATTAACACTTGTAGTGGTTGCAAGTAATAATAGTGGGTAATAACAAAAGTTGAAATACTCGAACAAATATTTTTATAATAATGAAGTCATTGGCAAACCAGTTGTGGTTTAGGTTCGGATCCGTCGATGATGCAAACTGGAAGTCACGAGTAATGACCGAACTCGTACACTTTGTGACTACGCAGATGTAATAAGAAGTGTAAAAGAGCCAAAATAATATGTGTAAGATGTTAGGAACAAATTCCAAATCCAGAGACTGTACGGCGCGGCGGTTGGTGCGGTGGCTGGGCATCTGACTGACGTGCAACGTTTAGCATTTTCGATTCCCGCACGGAACAACTCCTTGTGTGATCCATAAAGTGTTGTGTCGAGTTTAGGTGCCATGTGTATGCACAATTGTATGCTTGTAAACGCACCCACGATACAGGAGAAGATCCTAGTCTGGGGCAAAGCATTTTTTATTAAATATATAAAAGAATTTTAGGCCATAAACTAATCGTTCCTGGTCAAACAGTTACGTGAGTAAGCCGTTTAACACAGTAATCAATCTAGGCCATTAACCTACTACATCAATAGTATCAAAATGTTTGCCCAACCAGAGATAAAATGTGTGAGTCACACTCACACTCATGAATACTCATCAGCAGTATAAGATATAAGGTCAAAACTTTTATCCCCTGAAGGCTAAAATTCACTTTTTACTATTCCAAGTACCGTTTTCGTAAAAGACTCAATGATGCTTGCAACCTGTGAATTGAATTTCAAACTCTTGCTTAGCATTCACCCTTGCAATCAATCGATCAACGATACAGTTAGATTATTATAACTATTTGTTTTCTCTTGGTTTTGTTTTTTTTTTTTATTTTAGTATATTCTGTTGTTTGTATGTTGCGTCAGGTATGTCTTTGCATTATTCTCACATGTGTGTACAATATTGGAAAATGTATCAGAGCAATGTAAAACAGACTTTTTTTTAAAAAGAGTAACGAATGGAGTTTCTTGCTCGTTCTTCTCCACTCGAATCGACATTTTGGAACGAGCGCCTAGCTTCACTGACGGACAGACTGACAGACTATTATATATTTTATATTTGTTGACGTTTCAAAAGTACCAAATTATGGTTTAATTGAAATAAATGCTTTTGACTTTGAATTTGAGACTCTATATCATATTCAGGCAGTCAAAGTAGTCTATATCATATTACATAAAACTACACAACATACTAACCGAATTTCGTTGAACATACGATCGAACATGATACCACCATAGACTAAAATTCAAATTTTTTCTTGACCACAAAGTCTTGGAACGCGGAAATATTTTTTTTATCGACTAAACAATCTTTATGTTGTAACAAAAAATATCTAGTAATCGTCCTAATGATGATCCACGGTGTAATCATACGATTACGGCTTTTTTTGGTATTCATAATCGGTTTATTATGAGAGTATCCATGAGACTGACTGGTTGCCAGTTGGTCTTGTCGCAAGCGTGATTAGTTAGTTGTAAGGTTATAAAGGTTTCTCGAAGTTTAGTTATTTTATGGTGACTTTATTTTTTATAGTGGTATTGAGTCGTGTGAAAACGGCTGAGTCGAATCACAAATCATATTCTTCCTGCAGGTGTCACAAGAGACTCGGGAAGTAGCGCTCTCTGATAATTCTAAACCTTAAAAATTAACATTCTTCTATCTTATCTCATTTCTACGCCTGATTACCATGTTTTTTTATACAAAGGAGGCTCACAGTCTGACACAGAAGGATTTCAGATTTGTAGTAGATTTTAGTTACGTGCTCTAGTGAGAGATAAAACTATTTATTATTTATTTAACTGTATGAAGTTAAATTAAGAGCTTAGTGTGCCTAACCAAGATAAAAAAAGGAAAATCAACTCACCGCTAGTACTATGATTATCATGCTGCCTGTATTCATTCCTCTCTGGAGACGGCGCGAGGTCACTCCCAATACCAGAGCTCCCTCCTGAAGACTCCAGCTTACGCCTGGCATTCACTCCCACAATGTTCTGGTTCAGGCAACGCCGCGTATCAATGTTGGAGAGGTTCCCCTTCTGACGGTGCACCGTGTCGTAGTCCCGAGGAGGAAGAAGTATAGGACTTTTGCCTGTAAAATGTGAGTTGGTAAGTGAGTTAGAGTTGATAAAAGTGAGTGAGAGTGAGGTGGGTTGAGTTAAAATGAGTATTTCTGTGTAATAAGTATCGTATGTAATGCTAAATTCTGAACCACATAAGACGTATATTTATAATATTTAAGTAAAATCTTAATAGCTGTCGAAAAAATGTTTGGTGTCCCATCATTTACGTACGTATACCCTTGATGTATTGTAAAGGGCTGTTTTATATGATGATAAATGAAGGCCCTTATAAGTTTTATTATCATTGAATGTTTTGTTTGTGTGTATGGTGACTATGAATACTGTGCTATTTGCCCGCAAAGCTCAAATTAAACATAAAGAACAATATAAATGCATTTACTATAATAACAATCGGAAGCTTCATAAATATGCAGCATATCAAAATAAACGAAGCATAATTTTTCCCTTCAATTCAATTGGAGCTATTTGAAATGAAACGATTGATTAATTAGTTACATTTGTTCAGCGCAAAATTGTCATAAGACGCATTCTTGAATAATACCCGTTGTAAGTTTTATCGCGTTTGTCATGGGACTCACAATATAACTGGCGATGAGCATGACACGTTAACTATGTTTACGCTACCATTAGTTACTTCATAATATCAGCACAACTATAAGAAATATGTCTATAAATATATTAGAACAACAACATAAAAAGCTTCAAACTACATACCCAAATACCGGTGCAAAACGCAACAAGCATGTCTACCTACGAAAATAAAGAAAAATGACTGACCTAATCCCCGTTTACCTGTAGATAACTTTTGTTTCAATTCGGCAGCTAAACTGTCATATAGGTTAGCCACACAACGCTCCTCGTTGCTCCCTGAATCCGATTCTCTGGAGACTTCACTTCCAAGAGATGAATCTGGGGGTTTCTTGGACGACGGCAGCGCCCCCCTCATCTGTAGTTTGCGCTCGATGTCCGCGAACTTCTTCTGGTTTTCTGGTCTCTCTATTAGAGCTTGGAGGTGGGTGTACAACATCTCGGCTGTGTGATCTGAGTCGCATCTGTTGACAAGGACAAAAGTTGTTTTAGTATTTTTGTAATGGAACATATAGCCAAATATTTTTTCTTCTCAATCGGTATCGCTTGACGTAATGTGTCTCCTAGTTGAAATGTGGTTCGTATTGTACCTACGATATACGTAGGTAGATTAATAACAGTTTTATTCATAGTTAGAGCCTTTTGACACTATTTTAATGGAATCTACCTACGCAAAATTATCCGTGAGTTTGACTGACCGAAACTTAACTAGAGGTGATGAAACAGTGCTTAATGAAGTAACTAGATAAACATATTTGTACAATTAAAAGCAATTCTTATATAATCTACTCTACAAACTAAAATCGTGTCAACAAAAACATCTATTGCACATTCGACTCATTGTTTTCCATAACATGTCCAATTCACATGCAAAATATAAAGATAAATATTACAATAAGCCCTTACAACATCCATCATTTCTCGTGTCGTACAACCACGATCGTTCATGACAAAGTATGCGTTACCCAACACTAGTCACGCATGCGCATTCCAAGAGCACCCGAGTGACAGCGCGCCCAAATGTTCGCGGGCTAATGTCAAAGTTGATTACAAGATGGCGGCCTCATCTGTCAAATTTTGACAGATAATACAATAGGTGTTAAAATATTAGGTCGTATTGGGAAAGGGTTGATTAATTCTGTACCTATTGTGGTTTTGATTGTTGTTTTGGTTTAGTTATTTTTAAGTGATGATTAGAGGGCTTGGGGCTGTTTTCGATGACAAAAACCGGTCAGTCAAAAATGGCAGTCGAAATTGAGGTCGGATGGTAGCTTTAATAAATTTGTATGTAGGGAAACAAAAACCTTCGTTTTTGTCTTCTCCTCTAATACTATCATTCGGGATGTGGTTGCGGACTCCAAGACAGTTATTAATGCCCCTGGGACAGTGGGACAAACAGACTTCAGTGTTCCAGTATTTTCATGGTTGTATCTACTGAAAGTCCTGGCTTACAGAAGTTGCAGCAGTTTCGGGAGGGTGTGGCGAGCTTGTCCAAAAAATAACAAAATGACAGAGTGTCTTCCTCTGTCATTCCTTTTAGAATAAAACAAATTGTTGACTTCACTTAAAAAGACCAAAGTTCTTATAAAAAGGGTTTTTCTTTGCGTAGGTACTTAATAACATGTTTAGGTTATTTTTACACACCAAACCTGACAAGGGTCAGTTTCATCTTTATGAGGTAACTTTTACTTTTTTTGGGACCAACGCAAAGGTCATCGTTTTATAAACTGGTATAAAAATATTTAGGCAAGTAGGTACGCACATCCGTTCGTTTAAATAGCTATTTAATTATAAATAACTGAATGTAGCTAGCATTAATCTCAATCAATAATGATATTGATTCATAATGCTGCATCAACTGTTGCTATCAACGTGATATATGACTGACAATTCGTGTCTGAAGTTGTTAAACAACTATTTATTACAAGACACTTATGTAATATATGAATGCCTTGTTTAATACATAATATTGCTGGTGAAAAGTGCCTTTGTGTATGTGACACGTAACAGCGGGGCGAGCCTATTGGCATATATTTCATACTATTTACTGAGTTCATTTGCGTAGCTAGCCTTAGTGCTAATCCTTACCTAATGTTATAAAAGCGAAAGTTTGTTTGTGTTCCTGAGCAATTCTAAAATGATTGTTGTATCTGGAACATAGTCTTTGAGATAGTTTACTCGAATAATAGACATACTGTTATCGTCATTGCATATATTGATAGTACCGCACCAATTATCTTGTCATTTAAATTTGAACATTAAATCTTATATCGTATGATATATTTTATACCATCCACGCCGTCGTGACTCCTGTCGTTACTTGCTATAAACTTTAAGGACAAATTAGCATCAAAAGCTCGTGCCACACAATGTGAACACATATGTAAACAAATAAGTACGCACATGTGTAGCGCCGGTATTATAACATGAAATACATACATAACTTCACGCCTGTCTCCCATGGGGGTAAGCAGAGACTATGGAATGCCAATTGCTACGATACCTTCATCAACCAATGGCTTCATCAACTGTCATCAATCTTTTCATGCATGCTCGTCGGTTAAGGGTACTTTTAATTTGGCCTTTCTTGAATATATCGCCAATCCGGTCAGTATATGTCCGTCTAGGGCACGAAATACATTAGATATAAAATGCAAGGCAAGCTGTATTCTACCCTTAACGACCTTGTGTGTTCCCCTTTAGCCAAGGTTACTCTAATAGCTCTGCTATGAGCTATGAAGCAACCACACCGTATACAAGACACAGGTTGTAGGCCCGCCTACTATCGATAACAGGTTCAATCAGCTATTGGTACAGTTAGCGGCAAAAATTGCAAGCGATCAGGAAAAATGTTGAACATTTTTATTGTATTTGAAGAGAAATTTAAAGATTTGTATTTTTTTAATTTGAAGCAGATATTATAATTGTTTCAATGTGAAACTGTCTTGGACTGAAATATAATCGGAAAACGAGCAGACGGATCACCTGATGGTAAACATTCGGTGTGGCTCATTGGCATTCGCAACACCATAGGAGTAATACCTAAAAATGAACCTTTTAAATATTATTTTTTTAAGTATTAAATCCTCAACGGATTTTGACTAAATTTGGTATACACTATACAGGCAGGGTTGTAGGTATGGGCTGAATTAGAACATAGGATACTTTTTATCGCGATTAAATGCTCTCATGGGATAAAATAAGAATTATATTCTACGCATACGTAATATTTTATAGTAATAGACAAAAAACTGCAGTTAATTTTTTCACTAACTGTACTTCAATACTTGAACCACCAGTAGTAGGGCGTACATTAATCAGAAGCTTTAATGTAATACAAATTATACATTCAAATTGATACCATGCTGTGTGGTACTTACGATGTAAATTTGAATGTCGCAATATTAGTATGGAATGTTAACTTTCGTTGGTTGTGTGGTTGGAAGCACAACTTCTGTAAGTGAGGTGCAAAATAAAACCAATAAATATTCCAGTTATAAGTATACATTTCACAATAAACCATATCAATGTCAAAACAGAGTTCAAATTCAGTTACCACTGCAGTTCACGCAACTAACAAACAAAATAAAAACTTATCAATCACGCAATGAATAAATAAACACCTAAACATTTAAAAAAGGAACCCTTGAACCGCCATCTGTCAAACTGGTCTCATTCTCACAGATTAAAAATAACGTTGTATAACCAGCCAGCTTAGATGACATAACTCTATGCTAATGCTCTATAGTTTATGGTAATCGTAGGGCCGCCTATACACTGTCCTTACTTACGACACATCCGTTGGGCATCGGTGACTTTATGGTAAAGGTGATCGACCTTAATCAGATTACTTGTGACATCAAAGAACCTTAGACCTTAGGCTTTAAAGCTTAATGTCTTCAATATTTCTTACTTGTAGATTACAGATATTTTGGAGATTTTTGCTCTCATATTTTGCATGAAATATGTGCTTCAGTTCAGCGGTGAATTTAAGTTCTATTCCGGTACTTAGTTGTCAAACGATTTTTTTTTTGTTTTCATTGTGTTCCATTAACACATAGTCTGGAATAATACTTCTAATACAACTGGAATTATTATTTAAAATAATCGGTTTAAACATGTTAAATAATAAAAAAACCTCTACTAGACACAACCAGGAATTATTTATCTTATACAAATTCAGTTCGTGTTTCGTTAGATATGTGCACATCTGCCCCTCCCTTAGAGGTTGAAAAGGTTTTTTTTAAGGGGGGAAAATCATCGAATGGTTTCCTCGCTTGGGTGAGGCTGGGGGGAGTGTCAGACTCTTACTGACTAAAAACCAACCCGTTCCTACACCTGCCCTTCGAGCCGAAGCCCCGGCAACCCCTTAAGTCCTCCACGGCTCCAGTTAAAAAGGTGAGGCGTTGGGAATACAATATGTAGGTGTATTATTACTAACTTCGAATTTTTCATTGACGTATACTATATAATCTTTTCATTTTTCGTCAAACAAACGTTTCCACTCTCATTATTATACATATACATGTCGCGGAGAACTTAACGGGTAACCGGGCTCCGACTCGACGTGCAGGAGAAGGAACGGGGTGGTTTTTAGTCAGTAAGAGTCTGACACTCCCTCCCGCCTTACCCAGGCGGGAGCAGTCATTCGATGATTTTCTCCCCTTCAAAAAAAAAAAAATTATACATATAGAGGTACATGTCGCGGAGAACCTAACGGGTAACCGGGCTCCGGCTCGACGGGCAGGAGAAGGAACGGGGTGGTTTTTAGTCAGTAAGAGTCTGACATTCCCTCCCGCCTCACCCAGGCGGGAGCAGTCTTTCGATGATTTTCCCCCGTTAAAAAAAAAATATACATATACATACCTACGTATTAAAAATGAGAATTATATTAATTAATAAAGAATAATTCTAGAATAACAATATCATCCGATGACAGGTCATTAGTTGCCTCATTTGGTATAACAACGTCATTAAAAATACTTGATAATAATGTTGAATTCACTGTAAGGACATTTAAAGGTCAAATTCCTTTGACGCATCATCTGTCGTGTTATTTTAGAAAATGAGTGTTACCTACTACTTGTAAGTTGTTGTAGTTTGTAATTAAAGGGAAAATTTATAACATGCCACTTCATTGGAGATTATATTGGACGTGTGTTACACCGGAGTGTACCTAATAAAGTTGGTCTAGAAATGAGAAAGAATAATGTAGATGTCCTTCTTGTTTTTTTTTTGTACTTACAGACGTTTGTGTATTTTACAAATTAAACTGTCAAACACCAAGCGGTCACCGGTGACCGCAACCTATTGTTCTATAATTGTGTCTACAAAACCGGTACTCGACGAGTTAATATTATGATATTGGTATAGTAAGATCGCCTACCACAAGCAAACTCTTGCTTAACAGGTTTTTTCCTAATATTTTGTTGGTATGTACATAATAGTTAATGAAAATTTTTTT